AAGCCGAGATTGGGCAACGGTCATGCCAAACACTACAGGGGCTGTGCATGCATAGATGCGGCGGAATAAGTGGTGAGACTTATTTTCGCTGACAGCACGCAAATCAATGTCACCGCAGACTTCTCAACAAGCAGGTTGACCTACAGATTCGATACTGTTTCCGTGCGGGATTTCCTGATTGGGTATCCACTCCGTAGATGAACTTGCTTGTCGAGAAATCTGACAACGTGTGTCAGCGAGAATATCATTCCATGTCGATTCATTTCGTCGATAGGGTAAAAGGACCAACGGCGCTTGCAGGCGCATTGCGCTATATGCTGTTACAGGGTTCTTAGCGATGCTACCCTCCCAAGGTAGACACCGCTTTACTCAAAAGGGCAAGTGGTGCAAAGATATGTGCATCAAAGCCAGCCATCACTAGTACACAAAAGCTTTAGCATAGCTACATGCATAGAGCAAGATGGTAGGTTACACCTCACCGCATACAGCATCATTCCACCTAATGAAATAAGCTCGGCCACCTATTTTCCGCCCACCCCTAGTTTCCGCCTACCTTACTACAACGCGTTGAGCGATTTTAAAGCTGTGTATCTCAACAACGTCTATATTTGCTACTGCGTACACATAGAAGCTAGAGTTGTAGCTGCTGCTAAAGCTGCTGTACGAGCTGCAGCTCTCTCATTAAATTTAAGTGCAGTACCATGTCTGTGCACCAAATGCGCGCCGTCATCAAATGCGCGCAAATCCTCACCAAAATACCACTTTTTTAGGTGTTTTAAAAGCAGTCTAGCTCTTTATCTACAAGCTATATTTAAAAACTTCTAATACTAAACTTATAGCGTTTAGTAAGCTCTATAACTTTATATAAAAAGTTTTTTAAAATAACGTCCGAGACGGGTGAGTGGCCGGAGTTTGCCAAGACCTCACCAAACTTCAACCCACCTTCAATTAAGTTGCGATGTCTCAACGTAGCAGCATGAAGAGAAGCTTAAATGAAGCTGCGATACAAAGCGCAGTCCAGGCTCTAAACCAAGACACGAGTCTTACTATTCCACGCGCTGCAGCAATCTTTGGCGCTCCTGAACGGACCTTACGGCGACAACGTAACGGAACAGTCTCCCAACGCGATTGCAAACCTAAATCAATGAAGCTTCTTCTATCTGAAGAGAAGGCGATTGTTCAGCATGTCCTTGAGCTAGATGCGCGAGGGTTTCCACCTAAGCTCGCTACTATCAGAGATATGGCTGATTCTTTGCTCGCTGAGCGGCATCGCGACCCTGTTGGCGAGAACTGGGCTAAGACATTCGTAAAGCGCCAGCCTGAGCTTAAAGTAAAGCTAAATCGGAAGTATGATTACAAGAGAGCTCTGTGCGAGGATCCTAAGGTTGTAGAAGGCTGGTTTCGCCTAGTACAGAATACAAAAGCCAAGTACGGCATCCAGGACGAAGACATGTACAACTTTGATGAGACTGGCTTCATGATGGGTGTTATATCGACTGGCGCGGTAGTCACCGCGGCGGGGCGTCGAGGAAGGCCGAAGAGCATTCAGCCAGGCAACCGGGAGCAGAGATGGGAACAATCAATTCAATCAATTTTGAGCCTCTAATTGTTCCTGATTGAAAAACTTCCGAGTTCGGATTGATACTGACTTGATTGATGAGGTTTTAAGGTTCGTCGCTTGATAATTGATTGATGATTTGATTGTTCTTGATGTGTAACTTCGAGCAATTTTGTATGCAGATCACTGGAGATCTGTCTCCCAATCGCATATATCGTAGATTGCAGCTAACTCGGACTCATTTAGAGTGTCTTGTATATCGTTAGATGGCTTGAAACCTGCCCTCCTCCAGCTCCGTACACATTGTATCGCGGCTAGTAGTTGAGATCCGATCTTCCGCCTCCGAGGCTCTAATAGATCGCCGAGCTCGCTAAAGAGGCGCTCACATTGGCAGCTACTCGCTGGTATTGTGAGCAGATCTATCGCGCAGAGTTGCCAACAAGCAAGTCAATCAATCAATTTGCTTGATAACGGACCTCTCTCTGGTATGTGCACAGTGTCACGGACCTCTATATGGTCCGTTATCAAGCAAATTGATTGATTGACTTGCTTGTTGGCAACTCTGATAACAGGTAGATGCCGCTCGTACTCGTCAATGATCATGCTCCGCATCGTCGTGTGGTGAGGAATATGAGGCCGGCTCTGGGGACGGAGATATTCGCATAGCTTGCGGAAATGCTCGCTCTCAAGCTTATGAAAGGGAATAGCATCAGACACTACCCAAGAAAGAAGAAGCCTCTTGAAGCGTTCAGGGTCGAATCTACTGTTCATCCAATTCATTACCTGCTGGTCTTTTGGGTCATCCGCATTTAGCTGTAATTGCTCGAACACTGTACGGCTGCGTTTCCTAGAGAGAGGCCCATTTTTTGATATCCAGTGGACATTGAGAAGATGTTTCTTGATATTGTCGACTCCGGCAATGATGTACTTAGTCGTGCGATAGGGCTTTTTCGAATGGCACTCGCGACAGAGCCAGTAGCGCTCCGAGCTCAGCCCTTGTTGAACATAGTAACCGTATTTCCAAAACCAAGCGCGCAACTTGTCGCTGGTTGGTGGACGTATATAGCCCGGTAGTCGCGCCCAGACGATATCTTGGTAGTGGTCATCATCTGCAAGAGAATGGGTGGACGCAGACGGCTCGAACCGGGCTTCTGTAGAGGTGGGTGGCCCGGACTGCACAGTACGGAAGTGGGTGTCGATAGAGGAGGCGTCGACGATATCTAAATCCATGACAATGTATGAGATGCTTGATAGATGTGCTAGCAGATGCGCCGGTTGACGCGTTGGTTGGTTGGTTGGTTGATTCCTACACGGTTTCAGCCGCGAAATGCAGCTATGCCCGGATGACAGGCATGGCAGACAGCCGACACGGTGCGGACGTAAATCTGCACCGCCCCACTTCACTCTCGAAAGAGCCATCTGTCCCCAGAGGCCTGGCGTTGTCTGGCTTATATCTACGACTATGTACATCTCGTCTCTAGAAGTGACGTGTTTGCCTGCGTTTGTGTTCCTCAAACTGTCTTCCTGTGTGTATGCCGTACTCGAAGCCTCGTGTGTGTAACGTTGTTTCAAGGCTCGTAGAGGCACGGTTGCCTCATGCTTTGCGACCGCAATACCTTCAGTCTCCCCCTAGCGTTCAGCTGTCGTGTGTGCTAGCTTGCCCTCGTGCCCCAGGGCCTGGAATGTGTTCCCTAATCTCCGATGTTCTTTAAGTGTTATGATGCCGTCCACTAGGTTCCTATGCGGCTGTGTGGTGTGGTGTGACCTGCCATCAGGCGCGGCGGCAGCAGCATTTCGTCGTAACGCGGCTCCACAAGGGCAATGCTCCGCTCGTGCGTGCCGTTAAGCCTACTGAGCAGGAGAGCTCTCGCGCGAATCTCCTCAGACCTTGTCGGGTGTGTCGAAGGGGCACCACTCCCTCAACACGTGGGGCGACAGTGGACGAGGCTGTCTGGTGATCTGTAAGTGTGTTGTGGCATCGGTGGTAGCATGCCAGAATGTCTGTGAAGTGATTCGTGCGAGAGGTGATGCTGTTCGGCCCAACGACTCGTCGATGCGGGACGTTGCAGACTTTGTCGGATGGTGATGGGCTAGCAAGGAAGCCCATCAGTGACTGTTGTGTTTGTTGTGATTATGATCCTCAAGGGATGTCTGGGCTCTGTCATCGCGTCTCGCGTCGCTGTGTTGTGGCTAGATGGCTGCCGCTGCATTTGGTGGGCGTGTCATGTTAAGTAGCTTGCTCGCAGATTTTGTCTGTCTGTGCCTGCCAGGGCCGCAACAGCGACTCTACAGGTGCCAAAACAACGCGGGGGGACGCGTGATGGCCTGTAGAGACCGTTGCGACCTCTGGCAGGTGTTTGTGATGCTTTTTGTGATGATAATTCCAAAAATTGAGTTCTCGCTGTTTGTCGTGTTTTCCGCCGGTTGACGCGTCGCGTCGTGTCGCGTCGTGTCGCATCCAAACGAAAGCCAAGACGTCCTCGGTTAGCGACGCAGCCAATAGCATGCGGCGCACTAGTCATCTCAACTTATTGTCAATCAACTAGGGGTAAAGTTGAGTTGAATTGCGATTGCTTACGTCAGCAGCAGTAGGCCAGTTGAATTGACATTGAAACAACATGTTGAAACAATGTTGCCAAGAGATTGATTGATTAGCAAGCCCGCGGCGGGCCTTGATTAGTACATTTTCATGTAGCATTTCCTCAGCCCCTTTGACAAGTTTTGAGAAGCTTTCTTGGGCGCCTGTTGGTGATCGTACGAAGGATTCTCTTACAAGCTTTGATTGTGATTCAAACTCGTACGAATTGCTTGGTGTTTTTGACTGCCAGGGCGTTTCTGGTAGAGGTGCTGGTGGTGGGGTGTGAAGTCGCACATCAAGGCGAGCAATAACCCTCTGCGCGTCGAGAGGGATTAGTCCCGCTGTCTCAAAGTCCTTCTTATAGTTTCTCGTACGTAAACACGTCGAAAAACGCGTCTTTAAAGGCTGGGAGGAAGCCTTCCTTATCGATATGGTAGATATGCCGGCGTGCTAAGCCTCTGTCGCAGGCCAAGCGCTGTCGGGAACTTGAACCTTATTACTAATAACGCCGTGCGATGACCTCCATATAAGCTGAGCTATGATGCTAGAACAATACAAGACATACACTCTCTCTCCTAATTATTCTGTCCACAATACCCGCACCCAACCGTGCGACAGTTATGAGCCCGGTCAACCTTCCCTCTGCAGCACTATCAGTCTATGCAGACATTACTATCTCTATTAACTGCTCATTGCAAACACGCTGCTGGTTGCGACCGTCAGCACGATCCCAACAGAAAGTGAGGGGTCGCATCCGCAACCCCGCATCCCCGCGATCGTCACCACACTTAAGGGTTGAACAACGACAACCACCTTGAGGAAAAGGAAGACAAGTATCAAGAAGCAACCAAATATATTTCCATGATGTCGACGAGGGAACATAATCTACTAATGCTCAATGCCCGCAGCGACTGGATCGATTGGTACAACTCTATTGAAGATCTCGCTAAGCGGAACGAAGTGTGGAAGTACTGCGATCCACTGGGCATTGAGAACCTCGTCTTCACATCGACGAAACCATCAGACTCAGCAAGTAAGGACACTATCCAGAAGTTCCAAAGCTTGCAAAGCATCTTCGACTCTGAGAAGAAGAAATATGACAAAGTATCTGACCGCATCGACTACACTGTCTGTCAAGAGTTCAAGCAACACTACCTTGGCAAACACGACGTGCGGAGCAAACTTGTCGCACTCTCAGATAGCATTCAGCCGAACGCGAAAGATCAAAGGCAAGACATTAGAACTGAGTTCGAGAAGCTTAGAAAGGGTCCAGGAAATACAAGCCTTGACAGATGGCTTGGTCGCTGGCCCGCACTCGTCAACAGTGCCAAAAGGTACACAATCGAAAACCTCAGCGAGCCGCAGATATGTGAAGCCTTCGTTGAAGCGTGCCGAGATATCAACTCACCATTCTACAACTACATGAAGTCAAAAGACGCGCAATCCGAAAGTCAGGCGTCTATTATCAACCAGACGGCAATGGCAATGAAGAGGATGTCTGATGCACTTATCACAGCGCTGAACACAATCAGCCCAGAACAAGCGAGCAGTGGTTCTACCATAATGAGCGATTCAGGTGATGCTGATTCTGACGATGCGGTCGACGAAGTCGATGCTCCAGCGGTACAAAGAGCACAGAACACGATTGACAAGACCCTCAGATCCTTTCGTAGGCTGAAGCCAACACTCTCTGACAACAGGATTACGATAAGCTTCTGCATCAAGCAATTCCGGAGCATGGCACCTCCGAGCGAGAAAACCGCCAGAGGTCGCGCAGCTCACGCTACGCTTCAGGGCAGAAAGCACGGTCGTGATCCGAAGACGTCAGACGAGGAGGATGGGCAGCCACGGCGGAAGCGAGAGGTGATTGGATCGAGTTCAGTCTCTGCGACCCAGCCGAGCTGTCTTCGAGACTGTGTTTGCGGACAAGCACACAAGTACGCCGATTGTTGGTACCTTAACCCTGCAAAGGCTCCAGCCAGATGGAGACCACAAGTTCATATACAATCAAAAGTAATCACGGCGATCTCAGGAAGCCATCGCCAGCGCGAAAGATAGAGAGAAGCTTTTCTCGCAGCAAGATTGCACTGCCTGATTTCTGGCCTAGTAACAACGCAGATGATCAATCTGAGAAGGCGGCAAGCCAAGCCGGTTCTGCCACAGTGACAGGCACGAGGCAGACTAGGCCTAGGGCTTCTTTCGCAACTTCTAGATATGCGTTAAGTATCACACGAAAAACCGAGAATGATAGCTACTTTCGTCTCGACAACTGCGCGGATACTCACGTTTGCAACGACAAGTCGCGCTTTATCCACTACAAGCCAATACACGACGAAATTATCCGTTTTGGCGACACTAATACACGCATCGAAGGCGGTGGAAATATCAGCGTCAACGTTACAACACCTACAGGTCACGGCCTCGTGCAACTAGAGGACGTAGCATACGTACCTGGCTTCCATTGGAACCTTATAAGCACTCATTCGCTAGAGAAGCAAGGTCTGTTTTTTCAACACACGAACATGTTGGATGGAGTTTTCAGATGGCTCAAAAGCCTTCCAAGTCAAGAAGCATGGCGCTTTCCGAGTTGTCGAGCCATACGTTGGCCAGACTCATCAAAGCTTGAGACCGGCATACAAAGCAGCGCATGCTTCTGCTACAAAGAAGACGTCCCAAGATGCAAAGACTTCCATAGCCTCCATGGACGTATGGCACTTGAGACTAGGACACATTCGTAAAGAAGCTCTTGAGCACGTGCCCATAGCAGTAAGGGGGGTGGCGCTCAGCACACACAGCTTCCAGCGGAACGCAGACCTCTGCCAAACATGCGAGCTTACACAGGCTTATCAACAAGTCTCGAGAGTTCCGATGTGGAGAGGAACCTACCCGTTCGAGAAGGTTCATATGGACCTCATTGATATGGAAGAAGCATTCAATGCCGACTCATGGGTCGTTCACTTCTATTGCGACTACTCAGCGTATTACATATCATTCAACGTTACAAACAAAACCTAAGATGAACTTGTTTCAGTGACTAAAGAATTCCTAGCAATCACAAACAGCAACTGGGGATTCACAACACGATACATTCGATCAGATGGGGAGAAGGGCCTAGGAAATGAGTGGAAAGAGCTAATCGCCGCGAAAGGCATCACTTTTACACCGTCTCCACCTGATATTCCAGACCAGAACGGTCTCGCCGAACGTTCTGGGGGGGTGATCATGGCCACGGCGCGAAAACTCCGCATACAGAGCAGATTACCTCACAAACTCTGGCCACACATAGTTGCACATGCTACACGTCTTCTCAATCGGATTCCAGTGCAGCGCAAGGACTGGAAGACACCGTTCGAGATGGTGCACGCACGACAGCCTGATCTCTCACACATCAGAATTGTCGGATCACGAGCTTACGTCCTTATCAAAAACCGAAGAGACCGCCCAGCCAGAGCAAAGCTCCAAGAAAGAGCACTCATGGGATGGCTTGTCGGAATGGAAGCAACGAACATCTACAAGGTCTGGATACCACAATCTAACCGCGTTATCACATCACGAGACGTAAGGATAGATGAGAAAGTCCTATACGACCCACGACAATCCATAGCTCCTCTTGAACGTGATCAGTCACTATCTACTGTACTCAATGACATCGACATGAACGAGTCAGATGAGGAAGCGCTTCTTAATGGAAGTGATGCTGTTGAGCTAGTAGAAGCGTCAGCTGAATCGCAAAATCAAGAGATATTGCCTACAGGATCAAGAGAAGTAGCATCTCTACGGGAGACGTCCACACAAGATATATCGAGAGGCGCATCTGTACGATGGCCCTACCCCACTCCAGTATCTTTCGGATCAGCTCCACGCCAAACAAGCATTACACAAGAATTACCTAGAACAGGGAGAGACACTAATACTGACGCAACTGCTCTCCAAAACTTGCGCACCAGTACTGGAAGAAATATCCGACTGTCGCAAAGAGGGCAAGACGCCGTTGATTCCTCCCACACACATGCTACGCAACGATATACAGAAAAGAGAGCAAGACGCGAAGCTCATGCTCTTCGACTAGAGCGTGCTAGACTCGGTCAGCAAGTGGCTCACGCTTTTGCAACAGCACAGTCTATTCGCACACACCGGAAAGACCTATTGCCGCCACCAGACTTCTGGCACCAGCTAAAGCGACATCCTGAAGGCAAGGGATTCCGGCATGCTGCAGACGCTGAACTTGCATCGCTCGAAGAGAAGAAAACGTTTGAACTAGTGGACCATCCAGATGGCAAGCAAGTACTACCACTCAAATGGGTGTTCACATACAAGTTTGACGACGCTGGCTACCTCGTTCGTCACAAAGCGCGGATCTGCGTAAGAGGCGATCTACAACATCAGGTCACCGATGACATCTATGCAGCAACCGGCGCATATCGTAGCTTCCGTATCCTTATGGCTCTTGTCTGCGCATTTGGGCTTTTTTGTCATCAAATCGACTTTAAGAACGCCTTCATCAATGCAGACATGGACGAGGAAATATACACCACTTGTCCACCTGGGTACCGCCAGTCAGGGAAAGTCTGGAAGCTGCAAAAGGCGCTGTATGGCCTGCGTAAATCACCAAAACTCTGGTTCAACGAACTCGTTTCGTTCCTTAAGGGTCTGGGATTCAATCATTGCCCAGATGAACCATGTATCCTCATAAACAACCAAACAGGACTCATCCTGTTTCTCTATGTGGATGATATGCTTGTCATCGCACAACCGGAAAGTATCCACTCCATCAAAGACTTTAAGCTAAAACTGAACAGCAGATACGGGATCAAGGATTTGAGCGAGGCAATCTCCTTCCTCAACATCAGCATCCTCCGCAACACCAGAGAAAAGAAGCTCTGGATCAGCCAACACGGGTACATTGAGAAGATCTGTACCAAGTTCGGCATAGACGACTCTGGAAGAACGGCTACAACGCCTCTCCTCTCGTCATATCGTCCTCAACAATACGAAGGGCAAGCAACACTTCAACAGATCACAGAGATGCAAGAAAAGGTAGGCTCGATCCTGTACGCAGCAGTAGTATCACGACCCGATGTGTCTTTTGCAGCCAGCCAGTTAAGTCAGTTCACTATGAACCCTTCACCAGAGCACCTGCGTTACGCGAACCGAGTTCTCGCATATCTCCAGGCCACGAAGTACTATGCCATCGAGTTCTTGGGCTCAGTGGAAAATACCACTGAAGTAGAGACACGCGGTGAAGAGGTACTTCAGCTGTCAAGCGACGCGTCGTTCGCGGATGATCCAGAGACTCGAAGATCCACGCAGGGCTATCTCATGAAGCTGTTCAAGGGACCGATTATGTGGCAGTCGTCTAAACAGAAGACTGTAACCACGTCAACAACTGAAGCTGAGCTACTCTCGCTGTCACACACAGCGAAGGAGACAATAGGTCTGTACCGGCTGTTCAAGCAGATACAGTTCGATCCCGAGCACCAACCTCGCATACTCTGTGATAACCAGCAGACGACAGGCCTGATCCAGAAGGACAGACCACAAACGTCATCAAAGCTAAAGCACGTTGACATCCATAGCCTATGGCTGAGACAGGTCTACAGAGACGGCAAAGTCACAGTTCAATGGGTTCCAACGACTGAAATGCCTTCGGATGGCTTCACCAAACCACTCTCAGCAGAAAAGCACTCTCAATTCGTACGTCATTTAGGCCTGGTTGATATCTCATCGCGGATTGATCCAGTGCATCGACACGAAGAGGCAAACTCTGATGACAGTCAGACCTCATCTGAGACTGAGTGAGATCTGAGGGGGTGTGTCGCAGGCCAAGCGCTGTCGGGAACATGAACCTTATTACTAATAACGCCGTGCGATGACCTCCATATAAGCTGAGCTATGATGCTAGAACAATACAAGACATACACTCTCTCTCCTAATTATTCTGTCCACAATACCCGCACCCAACCGTGCGACAGCCTCGTACGCGTTGAGAGTACTTGAGTTTCAAGGGCGAAAAGCAGACTAGGTCAAGTGGTTGGAGTATATGCGATGAATGAGCTGGCATACACAGTGTAAGGATCTCTCGTACGAGGCAGTAATCCTTAAATTCCTGGTTAAGGTGGCGCCTGGGGGGCACACACGCTGCCCTATTCTGCGCTTTTCGTCTCCTCTGCGCAGGAGTCATAGAAGACCACTTTTCCTCGGCCCCCTCTCCAATCCCCGAAGGCACGCTGCTAACGGATATAGGCGTTTGTGTTATGGTGGCGTGAGGTAAACACTGTGGTGGACTATGGAATTCAATTGCGTCATAAGCACCCGTAAGTAGGAGAGCATCAAGAGCCTTCTGTAAAAAAAATGGCAAGTTAGTCATTGTCCATCAGGCTGAACGCAAGGCTGAGGGGGCAAACTACTCTATGTACACAGTCTAGTACATACAACACTTCGCGTTGTGTCTGGGCTAACTTCGACATGCGGGAATTGACACAAGGCCATTCCTATGAGACACTGATGACGCTGCTGCAGCGATTAGAAGCAAGTAAATTCCATGGCGACGTGGGAACGCTAGTCGATGGCTTTGCGTGCAGGACAGATCTTCATAGCCTTAGCAATACTCAGTACCCAGCATTAATAAAATACCTTCTAGCGGACTTTATACCTCAGATATTGGGCTGTATTAGATGCGGCGAGGTCAAACATTCATCGTGAATAGCGCTGAGTTTAGGGCAGTTGAAAGTCCCCACGGAAGTCTTGGCACTCAGATTGAGCATGCCGCGAGGTTATCGTTACTGATAAATATGAACCATCAAGCCTTGGCGTATAAAGACATGGTCTGGTCAGGACCTAGGCTTCGTGGGGGTTCCTTTAGTCACGATTGATCATGACAACTTAGAATCTAAACCGCCTCTCAAACGAACATGTAGTGATTGGTATTACAGTAGATGCGCATGATCACTTCCGCTGCAATGACCACAACGCAAAATAGACATCCTGGCTGGATGTGCAATCGGTAGGCCACTGATCGTTGACCAGCGCGATGGAATAGATGCTGACAACTGCTTAGATTGAGCAATGTCATTCATAGACAGGTTGATGAAAGAGAATGAATCCCTCTAAAGCTGCCATGCTCTTCGACAGGCTCAGCGAAACTTGGCACTCCCGGATCAGAGTCGTCCTGCACGCCCTCAGGGAGCATCGCAATATCATGGATAGAAGATGTACGTGACAAGAAACCGCCATCCCTGATTTTGTTTCACAATACCCAAATAATGTCGAAATGGATCAGTTTTTCAAACTACGGAGCCTTTCCTCTGTTCCACCAGACCGTCATGGCATCGAAGCTGTCACCGACGTCTGCTATGAACATAGACTTACCGAGATCGTTGCACTGCTACGAACCGATGACCAGGGCGGACAGGCGTAGGTATCTCAGCTTAGCTAGACTTAAATTGGTACAAGATAAAGAGAAATTGTGTAAGCATAGCGATGTATATCATTGGTCCAGGTTAGCGTGACGCACAGGCCTGCAAGGTTCCATATGTAAGGCAAGCCACCCGCCCCTGGTGAGGCTAAAAACCCAATACGGAATGGTACCATGTGTTTATTGCGTGCAAGAGCAGGGATGACCAATATCCAAAGGAGGCTAGCGAGCTACGAATTTTTTTACCACCTATGGACGAGTCCTTGTCCATACGTAAGATTTCTCACCTTGTACGTACTGCAACATTAAGTACGCATATTGCCGTCCGACGAATGTCGCCTCGCTCTGCGAAGCGGATCATAGTTTTAGGGCTGACCTAATCTTCGCACCGACTGGCACATGAGCTCGAGAGAAGGTTGACCGTTGCGTATGAGCGCTACTTACCTGAACTCTAGAACACATGTTGATTATTACATAGTTTTGTAGATGTTCTGCATTCAGATGGTCGCTATGATCTTGGGCATGACGATGATAGAAACAGATTGCGGAATGAACGATTTACACTCTCAAATATGAGAACGTTTTGATCTATCCGAATAGCTTTCTTCTTCACCGGTTTAGTCTCAAGCTCAGGCTCATGTAGGTAGGTGGGGAGGTGAGAGTGAAGCTGCGACTCACTTCCTGCCCTTGTTGTTAGGCTTCCCCTCCGTGCTCATCAGTGCTCTCAAGAATATCGACATTCATTCATAATATTCATTTTTATGAATGCATATTATATTCATTGCAATGAATATTAGCTTAATGAATGAATATCGATATTCGAATATTTGAATATTTCACGTGACATTTTAGTGTGAAAATCTAAGAATTTTGCTCGCGATCTCGTTCAGAGGATGCCACCTTACTGTTGACAGGTCTAGAAAATATGGTGATATCTGACTAGGAGAGACCGAAGTTCTAGACCTTCGGTGAGACCGAGAATATCGGATTGACCGTCGGCCAGACCGAAGAGCTGAAGTCAGTGTGGTTTTCAACCTTGTCAATCCTTATCAATCGATATTGACGATTGACTTGAATTGACCTGGAATTGACATAGAATTGATCAATCCTCTTGGCACTTTCGCCATTGAGGCCAGAGTTGCTAACAATCAATCCGATCGGCGCATTGATTCGCATATATATCCTATTTGAGCGTGCAAGGTGTAGATAATGGTCTGTGATGCGGTGCACAGCTCTTTGCCTGTTTCGTTCGCGAATCGATCCGCCGATCGGATTGATTGTTAGCAACTTTGAGGTGGACATTCAAGATCGTGATGTGGAAGTACGTGAACCAGATGCATTTGATGCATGGGATCGTAACCAGCACGTCTTAAACGAGATCAAAGATGAACTAGAACATTTTATCAATGATACACCAATTAACCTTCCAAAGGGCACTACTGCGCTCAACTGGTGGTTGATTCCAGCCAATCAATTGGCCTATCCTTGCCTTTATCGTATGGCAGTAGACATCCTCTCAATTCCGCCTAAGTCAGCTGAACCGGAGCGTATCTTTTCAGGGGCACGCCGTACAATCTCATGGGAGCGCTATTGCCTGGGCGCTGAGAATATTGAGGGAGGAGAGTGCTTGAAGTCGTGGCTGAAAAGTGGGCTTGTAGATAGTTGGCGGGCAGAGCTTCTTCAGCAGGAACTACGGCAGGAACTACAGCAGGAAGGAGGGCAGGAAGGTGGTGAGGATATCGAGATGGAAGGCGCTGAGATAGAGTAGGGCAAAGCTTTCGCACACCTCAACACCATGCCAAGATACTGCCAAGAACGATATTCGAATATTATATTCATTCATTCATGATGGAGCACGGATGAATGAATATATTCATAAGCCTAAAAAAGTATGAATATATGCATTCATATATTCTTGAGAGCACTGAGACCGACTAATAGTGGTCCGATTGACCTCGTTCGCCCTGTCTGTGGGCACATTCACAGAGTCTTCCGACTTGTAACGGAAGGTCATAGCGTTTCCCTTGGAGTCATATACTTCCGAGAGAAGTCAGGAGAATGTTTTTGCGGCCGCTTTGTTTCCATCATTAGGGTCAACTACGCATGATTCTTGATCTCTGCCTAAAATGGACGTGATGTTCTGGCCGGTAATAACACGCCAGTGAATGTCGTCCGGGTTAGAAGCGTTGGTCCAACGCTCGATGCGGTCAAAACCCTTTTCGAATCGTGGTGAGTATCTTCTTATCATATATCCATCTCGGTTTGCTTCATCGAAAATTGGATTCCCGTTGGCATCGAGCGAAACGTCGCCCTACGGGCTTCGCTTAAAAACTGAGACCAAGTCATCTTGACCGGCGAATATGAACACGTCGGATTCTGCATCTGAACCGCCATTTGCGTATCGTGGAATGCCTTTGGCTGTCTTGCGGCTGATTTCGGCCAGTGAAAGCCTCCATCCCAATCCGAACGGACCATTCCCGGTACCAGAGCTGTACGCGAGACCTAATTGCGGGTGAAGACCAGATCTTTGCAGGACTAGTTCGGATAGAAATGGAGGCAGAGGCGGTGCCGGTGCACAAATTCACATCGAATTTCTCACCCATATCACGGATGGCGCCTCCTCCCTTTGGAAGTGACAGGGTCGGAGCTGAGGGAATTGAGGCATCGAAGGGTCTAGACTGCCCAGGAAACGATGGTTGACCCTGAATAGGGTCGTCAGCGGGCGGAGGCTGCTCTGATCTTGCATCGTGGTTGGGTGCGTTGGTTGTTGTTTGATTGCCGGCTGCTCACTCGCTTGTAATGCTCACTCGCTTGTAAAACACGTTAGGTGAGGACTATACGCACGACATGTTTTCGTCCAACTGGAAGGTGGAACGTAGTAGTAATTAATAATGAGGAAGCAGAATCTCCTGCAACGTCCTGAATGTTCGGCAACATGATTACATCTCCGCCAATGTCCTTTTTCTTGCAGAATATTTACGGACTAAGTCGAAAAGTGAAAATGACAGTTTTACCACCAAAACGTTCATATCATCTTTGTAGGGCCAAGTTACCCCAGAGTCTTCCGCTCTAACAGTACCCGTGGCCGGCAGTCGTTACACCATAGGACAATTTGGCACTTGGGATAGAGAACCACCCTCGCTGTTCATAACAGGCGTTCCGGAGACTGTTTAGAGCGGACCCAACATTACTCCAATCGCACCTCTGACCATTTCCGTAGTTACAGGCATAGGCAACTGCGCTTCCATACTGATACGAGATGACACCATTGTAATCAAGGCCACCGCCACAGCGCTGTTGGAGGCCGGCTTGGGCGTTTTGCCAATCGAAATCAGACACCCATCCGCCATCGCAGTGAGTGCCATAGTCCGATCGCTTGGTAAGGATGGTTGGCACACCGCTTGGAAGTTCGCTACTGTTGAAAGGCAGGTATTCCGCTTCTCCAATGTACTCCCAGTGGGTTGTGCCATCTGGGTTCAAGCTCCCCATGTGTAGGCCGTCTGGTGCTCCAGCAGGAAGAGCATCATAAAGGGGCTTTCTGTCGCCAGGCCCGCTAGTCGTCTGCGTAGCAAGAGCCCTTGTCGTGACCCCTATACTGCACAGGGCAAGGATGGCAACGAGCTTCATCTTAAGAGACTAACAGAAGTTTAGCACTTTGTCAAAAGCTTGAGATTGACAGAAGCATACCTGGCAGTGAGTGCGAACTTGAATGGATTGGAAGTTTAATTGTGTTTGCGTAGGTTGATTTGCGTAGGCTGATGTGTAGAGAAGAGAAGTTGTAAACCTCAATTTGAGCTTTGAAAAGGTTGACAAGATGGTGTTTCTGGACGAACTGTAGTACTAGTACTAAGTAGAATGCTGCAACAGTCTAAGGGATAGTTGAGAGTATTTGGCGCAGATTATAGAACTCTTATAAGCGTGGAGGGAACAAGAAGCTAGCTGACTTAGGCCGGCAGGCGTCTTTGCAAGACTCAAGGGTCATCCACTATCTACTACTATAACCTTAAAATTAGATTTTGAAACGGCTTTTAGAACGCTTTGGGCAAATCAACAGCTTACTAGTCTCTTTACTTGTCTAGGCTAGAAAAGTGTCTAAATAGCTACTAACTCCTTTGTAACAAGGCATTCTATCCCCTTAGCTCGGCTAATAGCTTACACATCCCATTATCCAAATCAAGAAAGTGTCTAAACGATTGCTAACTACTCTGCTACAAGAAGCTTTACTACATTAGCTCGGCTAATAGCTTACGCATCCCATTATCCAAATCAAGAAAGTGTCTAAACGATTGCTAACTACTCTGCTACAAGAAGCTTTACTACATTAGCTCGGCTAATAGCTTACGCATCCCATTATCCAAATCAAGAAAGTGTCTAAACGATTGCTAACTACTCTGCTACAAGAAGCTTTACTACATTAGCTTCGCTAATAGCTTACGTGCTCTCTTGCTTCTGAATTAAGAAAGTGTCCAAATAGCTATAGCGTGGTATAACCTGCCGTTAGCTTATTAGTCAAGTACAAAGATAAATGCGGTTGTGTATATATATCTATATTATCAGTTATTGTTGCACATCACAACACCTACTTCTCCACACCTTACCGCTACATTATCCAACATGAAGTCTTCTCTTTCTTTGTGCATGATTGCATCGATCCTAAGCTCAAAAGCTATGGCGGGTCCTACTCCAGGCCAGGACGGATTGTTTCGCCTCCCTCCTGGTTCCAAGGACGGCTTCTACCTTCACTCTGTGGACGCAAACGGCATCGCAAGCACCGAATATCTTGGGCTCGCCAACGTTACTAGCATATCCCCAGATCTTGCAAAGCCCGACACCTTGAGCAAGCGCGATAGCGAGGGCTCGCGCTGCCAAGGAAACTATGTCAACCCCGTGGATTGGGATGGTGCTGTCGACGGCTTACTGGGCTACTGCAATTTCGAAGAAAGCTTCTCAAAAGCTATCTCTTATCAGAGTGGGAACGCTGTAGCATATGGCTGCAGTTATGGAGGCCTGGAGACGTGTCGAACCTGGGAGGTTAACCCGATGATCACTGCTCTGAAGCGTGATTGTGGTAATCAACAGCAGGGCTTCTACACTAAGCCAAGCTGGAAGGTCTCCTACGGTGTGACAAGTGTTGGGAACAGCTATTGCTAAACTTGGCTTTCTGCTTTTGGGTTTCGATCAAGTCGGTCCAAATGAGGGATTGTGTTTGTGGGCACTCTTAGCTGTCGACCTCCATCAAAGACTATTAGGTTTACTTACACAATTTTCACAAAAGCTTATACTGCCTACATAGTTCTCAATACTCACTACATGGTAATCATCCGGGTCGTCTCCACTACTTCGTTTTACTGCGATGGACGTCGTGAAGCCCCCTGGTTTGAGTATCCCGTGACATCGATCATACGTCTTTTTCCTCTGTATTGGAGGTGCTCTTGGCCTGTACGTTGTAGTGTTCCATTTTGGCGGGCAGAAGCTCAAAGTGTACCTTTTATTCGAACTGTAGATCAGCTTTGCGACAGCTGGCATTTCATCCTGCTGCTAGATTTCGAGAGAAAGTGGTCATGGTTTAGATGCATGAAGCGCGTAACCCAGGTCTCGGAGAGGCGTGTTTGAGCGATCGCAGAAGCCTGATTTTGTGTCATAGCTCTCGTGGGTTGTAGGCTTCGCTTTGTTATATCTTCACTATAGACTACAAGCTCCAGCTCCTGCGGTAGACTAAGAGCGCGTCGATTGATTATCTCATTCTGAGAGGCCTGACAGTGTTGGTGTCTTCGCGACATTATACCGGTACAATAGAGTAGGGTAACATAGCTGCACTCCTCCCCACAACACGTCTTGTGGTTACAGCATCACTTGTGTTATCCAATACTTTCATGCTGTGAAACTGCAGGCACTCAACAGCTCTGCAATGGTGCCTAAGGTACCTAAATTTGCGGATTCAACAGTCCGTGCTGGGAAAGAAAAGACGCACGTGTTGGACTTCGTGGCTAGGGGTTGTTGCCCTGTTACCGCATTAGCTGTGGTCTATGCATGCCGTTGTCTGTGCTACGGAAGCCTGTTGGGGCCGTCCAAATCATTCGCAACATACGTCTTTTATGTGCGTTGAGAACCACCTGAAGGACCTGGCGATGAGAGAATTTAATCCGTGCTGCCCTGGTTTCTGGCGACAAGGCCCGTTTAAGTCCAGAGCGCGTGCCTCACTGTTGCCGGAGCGCCATCTCTACGGCTGACCAAGCAATATGAGCAGCAAAGGGTGTTGTTCTGATCGTTAAGGCCCTGTAGGCCACCCAGGAGAGCAAATCGAGCTCTATCTCGCGTCAGCGCCAGAGCGTCATTTCGAGACGCTATATTGGCGATCAGAGGAGTCGTAGAGCGGGCACAGCAAATTACCCTTGACAACAGCAAGTACTACGCGGTTGCTAATTTACCTATCCCAATTCTTCCAGTACTTGCTTTCAGCTCGTACAGTGGCGGTCATAGAGATTGAGTGGCACAGAGGAACACACGTAATTGTCAATCATCCAGCCAGCCAGCTGACGAGGGTTCGGCTGGCTTGGCTGGGTGTTTTGGGAGGCGTACGGCTGGATGGATTGGCTTGATTGGCTGTAGAGGCCCTGGCTGGCTGGCTTGGCTGGGTCGACTTGATGACTAATTAGGAAATTTGTATAGAAAACTTGGTGTTGAGTTTTAGTCGTCGTCCCATGTATCGATCCCGTACAAAGCGTCCATCTGCTCGTCAATTATTGCTGCCTTTGGAACCACCTTCTGACGCACTCAATTACTGCCGAAAACTGAGGTTGTATACGGCGACGACGATCCTCTAAGTGGTCACCCAGTTCACTGAACATGCGCTCACACTCATAGCTCTACGCTGTGATAGAGAGTACGTCAAGTGTGAGCTTGCTGAGGTTAAGGTAGCGATGGTGCAGCTCCAACTAGTAATTGATAGGGTTGTTGGCGTGATTACTACCCTTCTCCGCGGGCGGCTCGCAGCGTTTCCATTGCTCGTACTCGTCGTCCTCTCCATTGTTATATGTAGCTCCGCCTGGGTCGATAAGGCTATCAATTGCGTCGTCAATGTTATTAGAGACTACCTTTGTGCGTGTGCGCAGCCTCGGTAAGCTGTTATATTGCGCTTACAAAGCTTGAAAATTGCTGTTATTTAACTCCAGCCACTCAGGCTTCTCCGCCCATGCTAAATTGTAGTAGCATTTGTAGTGCGGATGGAGTATTGTAGCGGCGTAGTTGGCGGACGATAGGTCGAACTTGTTGTAGTGATCGAGAGCCTTGAGTATAGCTGCTCGGAGGTTGATTGCGAGGTGGTTTTCGGGGGTTTCGTCGTGCTCATCGTGTACGAGTCGTCGTAGTTTTGAAGTCGATTCTTGTACACGCCGAGTAAGTATTCAAACACTGGGATAATCTCAGCAACTGCTCGAAAGCCACCTTTCTCACCGCGTCCTTCAATGCGTTTTGTACAGTCTTTTAGCGGCCTGAGGACGTCTATATACTGGGTAACAACCGCCCAGTCGACAGCCGTAAGGCCATCTGATCTTATCCAAGTTAGAGCTTCAGGCAGCGTGTTGCCCTAGCTTAAGGCGTAGGCGTCTTCATTTCTATTGCGCTGAATGTGGCTGTTAGCGTAAGCGTTAACAGCTGATTGCAACTCAACGGCGCGCTTAAAGCATGAATAATACGTATTCCAGCGTGTGACAATAGGCTTAACCGGCTCTAGTATTTTGCGCTCTTCGACAGGCAGCTCGCGGTGGGTCATGCGCTGAAAACTCTCAAAAAGCAGGTACTGTTAGGGTGTTTTGATGTAGGTGATGATACTTGGAAGTACGCCTGATAGGCCATCACGCCTCCACTCACTGTTTTGATCTGACCTCATTTCGGCGACTTAGTCAGCTCAGCGTCAGAACCTCGGTGATGGACAGTTGAATCAATCATCCGATTTACTCAGCTCTCATCAGTAAAGCTGTCGCACTGTAATATACGGAGATGTGTGTACTTGCAGAACAGATACAATGTGTATGTCGAGTGAATGTTGTGTGAATGTTGTGTGAATATTGTGTATTAGCCTGAGATGGTCACCCTAGCCGTAGCTTATGTACAGGCGCCAGCAGCAAGAGAACTAACGCCGCTAATAGTGACACTTGATCGAGACAGCGCCTGGCCTGCTGCACAAGCCTTCCGGCGTAGAATAGACCAAGACCAAGCCAGAGAAGACCGTTCTCATCACTAGCTGCAGGATGCAATGAGACTTCTAAAAGGTATGGCCTTTGTTATCGCAAATATCCACTGACCGCGGATTACTTGCTTGCCCATAAGTCCATGCGAAATCGATAACGCTCTCGTGCCTTAGGTTGTAGAGTGACCAGAATTGGAAATCGTTGGCTCGAAAGTCTGGTTTGATGCAAGTATTCTTATTCCTGCTTTCCATATCATAATGTACCGAATGGCTTCGTTTCCCAAAGTACAGCTTTGCGTGGTTACGCTGCTTGTTTCCATCTTGCATCTGATCGTCGGTGCTATCGAAGGTGCTCGGGACATCGTTCCAGAAGCCGACACCGTAATCACCGTCCGTTTCCATGAGTAGCCCATACCGGTACCATAAACCGTCAGATTGCTTCGTGAATTTTACAACAGCCCATTCGAAGTCACTTTTATGGGACACATCGTGCTTGAAGTAGACATGGTAGGACACCCGCCAAGAGTCATCGCCTGGACAGTACGCGACCTTGTAGTATGTAGGTATCTGTTGAAATGGTTCGCCGGGGATATTGGCGTATGGCCAATTTGGACCACGGTATGTTGAGTCAGCGCAACCACCAGCTTGGTTCTGGTTGATGCCGCAAAGAACAACAGAAATGTCTACGCCGTTTGTTTGATGACCCTGACCATCTTCGGCAGCGCCAGGGAGGCAGGATCCGCTTGCCATATGCCACATTCTGCATTAACATGTGAGAAGAATATGTTTTTGCGAACAGAAAAGAAAAACATACGGCGAGGCTGCCTCCGCGGCCTTGATGCCATTATTTCCAGTAAAAAAGTCTTCCGAGATGCCATTGTTGGCGTAGACAGTTGTCGCAATTAATGCAAAAATGAAGAGTGCCCCCATTATGCTGGACGAATATAGGACTACACAGCGGAATGACAATGCGGCAGTGTCAATAGGCCTGTCGATAGAAATGAGATCAGAGAAGTCGACCGATGCGTCGATGGGCGCAGATTCGCATTGACTTTTATAGCCCTTTGTTTGATCTCATGGCAAAATGAGAGAACTACTCAAGACTAAGCAAGTACAGTTTAGCGTCTATATCGTTCGTGAGTTGATCTATGACGCCATCAAGATTGCCAAACTCAGCAAGTGCAGATTACCAAGCGACTGTTGAGGGGCCACTGTGTAAGGGCAAGCAACCTTGTCTTTGCATATCAGCTCCAGATCCAGTCGCTAGTGAATACAGCTTTACCCTTACGCATAGCTGCAACACTGTATCATGCCAATCTGTCAGCAAGTGTACTTGAGCCCACTTTCCGCTGTCAGCAAGTGTACTTGAACCCACTTTCCAACGTCAGCAAGTGTACTTAAGCCCACTCTCCATACTTAGTTGAGCGCTAACCGTCAGCATGGTCCTCGGCTACGCATGCAAGAGCCGAACGCAGGGGCAAACGATATTGTTGGTCAGCAAATCATAGTATGCAGGCCAGACCCTTGCTGGCAGGTTAGCCTCAATAAGGTTTGCTGCCTATGAGGGTCAAGTCGCATTCGCAATGACTGCATACAAAGGGCATTTTAGAGATTGTGCAAGTCTGATGGAGAAGGGTGCTAATAATAATGCGGAGGGTGGGGGTACGGCAACGAGTTGCAGCCAGTGTCATATAAGGGTCGCCATGCGATCATGCAGGCCTGGGGTCAGATTGGTGCCTGGTAAGAAGATGGCGTAATGCGCAGATGATGCTGGTCAGGTGCACGTCTAACCCGTTCTGTGCGCGGCACATGCTACTTGGAGAGTGAAAATGTGGACGGGAGGATTCCTAAAAATCCTCGTTAGTCTGGTGCTGACTCTGGTGTCTAAGTACGCACTGGCTTAGTGAGCTGCGTTCCAGAACCATACACGCACGTTAGCCAGGACAATGGACAGCGGCGACTCGATCTATGAGCAATCTAGCGTGGTACCATCATCGACTCAACGAAACGGACGAAGGTGCTCAAATTCTGACGGAAGCTCTGCATAGTATATGACACGATCCAATTGTGCATTTGCGGTTCCTTGAATTTGATTCTCCAGCACTGCAACATATTTTGCAGCCATTTCGGAAGGTCGCTCGAAAGCGGTCGTGTTAAGCCGCTCCTGGACCGCAACCTTGACCGAGATGATTGGCCCGGTAAAGTACCTCCGCACGTGTTCCCTGTGCGGGAGATCAATCCCGCAGCGGTTCTAGAAGACATCTTTGGTAGCGCCCTACAGCAGCTGTTTAATGCAGAAGAGAACAACGGCGATACTCCATTAGTATTCAAGGCTCCAGACAGAAAGAACACAGTTTCTGCTACACCGTCCTTGTTACGTATGTTGGCAGACTCATGCTCGCACAACTCATTCTTATATGCTGTTAACATGCCGCTGCCTGACATGAAAATGCCTTTACCTCGAGATATTCTAGAAGCTGTTGGCGTCTATAGCGAGGAAGAATACGGAAGCGATGCTAACATCGCCACTGTTGGTTCTGGTGTAAATCTTCATGAGGGTGCGCTGCCTTCTCTACTTCATCTTCTTAGAAACATGCTCAAAATTCACAGATCATGGCTGCGCGGTCGTAACCTGTATGAATGATGGGCAGATCAAAATCTGGATGCTCTACTCCTACGAGCGCAACGAGATTGATTACAACGCAACGAAAGACTCTCCGAACCAGTTTGCTGCTTGCGAAGAAAAGCTGCAAGGGTACTATGCGATAACCTTTCCAGGAAAAGCCATATATCTGCCACCGGGATGTATTCATATTACGAACACGATGCTGGCTGGGGCTTTTGGGGTCTACCTTCGCCACTGCCGTAGGTACTGCGGATGCTGCATCTATTCTACACCACCATATTCTCAGGAATCTAGTCAGCTTGTCATCCGGGAGCGATTCTTACGTACGCAGCCTAGCCGCGGCAATCTCTCACAACATGCTTAGCTCTTTCTTGGCGCCGTGTGTGGCCTTGAGCAATGCCCTATGGAGGAAGAGTTCCCGCCGGATCTGGCTGGAATTGTCGACGTACAGATGAAGGGCTTGCTAAAAAAGCAATAGTAAGGCATTTGATGATGACGCTCCAACCATCAATAATGAAGATGTGTAGAAACAGGGTAAAAAAGGCGATTAGTGTCAATTGCAATTGCTATCTGGGCTCATGATTGTGGACGGGCAACATGGAGACGACCTGGACGATTACCATGTGGTGAGTATTGAGAACTATGTAGGCATTATAAGCTTCTGTGAAAATTGTGTAGGTAAACCTAATAGTCTTTGATGGAGGTCGACAGCTAAGAGTGCCCACAAACACAATCCCTCATTTGGACCGACTTGATCGAAACCCAAAAAGCAGAAAGCCAAGTTTAGCAATAGCTGTTCCCAACACTTGTCACACCGTAGGAGACCTTCCAGCTTGGCTTAGTGTAGAAGCCCTGCTGTTGATTACCACAATCACGCTTCAGAGCAGTGATCATCGGGTTAACCTCCCAGGTTCGACACGTCTCCAGGCCTCCATAACTGCAGCCATATGCTACAGCGTTCCCACTCTGATAAGAGATAGCTTTTGAGAAGCTTTCTTCGAAATTGCAGTAGCCCAGTAAGCCGTCGACAGCACCATCCCAATCCACGGGGTTGACATAGTTTCTTGGCAGCGCGAGCCCTCGCTATCGCGCTTGCTCAAGGTGTCGGGCTTTGCAAGATCTGGGGATATGCTAGTAACGTTGGCGAGCCCAAGATATTCGGTGCTTGCGATGCCGTTTGCGTCCACAGAGTGAAGGTAGAAGCCGTCCTTGGAACCAGGAGGGAGGCGAAACAATCCGTCCTGGCCTGGAGTAGGACCCGCCATAGCTTTTGAGCTTAGGATCGATGCAATCATGCACAAAGAAAGAGAAGACTTCATGTTGGATAATGTAGCGGTAAGGTGTGGAGAAGTAGGTGTTGTGATGTGCAACAATAACTGATAATATAGATATATATACACAACCGCATTTATCTTTGTACTTGACTAATAAGCTAACGGCAGGTTATACCACGCTATAGCTATTTGGACACTTTCTTAATTCAGAAGCAAGAGAGCACGTAAGCTATTAGCGAAGCTAATGTAGTAAAGCTTCTTGTAGCAGAGTAGTTAGCAATCGTTTAGACACTTTCTTGATTTGGATAATGGGATGCGTAAGCTATTAGCCGAGCTAATGTAGTAAAGCTTCTTGTAGCAGAGTAGTTAGCAATCGTTTAGACACTTTCTTGATTTGGATAATGGGATGCGTAAGCTATTAGCCGAGCTAATGTAGTAAAGCTTCTTGTAGCAGAGTAGTTAGCAATCGTTTAGACACTTTCTTGATTTGGATAATGGGATGTGTAAGCTATTAGCCGAGCTAAGGGGATAGAATGCCTTGTTACAAAGGAGTTAGTAGCTATTTAGACACTTTTCTAGCCTAGACAAGTAAAGAGACTAGTAAGCTGTTGATTTGCCCAAAGCGTTCTAAAAGCCGTTTCAAAATCTAATTTTAAGGTTATAGTAGTAGATAGTGGATGACCCTTGAGTCTTGCAAAGACGCCTGCCGGCCTAAGTCAGCTAGCTTCTTGTTCCCTCCACGCTTATAAGAGTTCTATAATCTGCGCCAAATACTCTCAACTATCCCTTAGACTGTTGCAGCATTCTACTTAGTACTAGTACTACAGTTCGTCCAGAAACACCATCTTGTCAACCTTTTCAAAGCTCAAATTGAGGTTTACAACTTCTCTTCTCTACACATCAGCCTACGCAAATCAACCTACGCAAACACAATTAAACTTCCAATCCATTCAAGTTCGCACTCACTGCCAGGTATGCTTCTGTCAATCTCAAGCTTTTGACAAAGTGCTAAACTTCTGTTAGTCTCTTAAGATGAAGCTCGTTGCCATCCTTGCCCTGTGCAGTATAGGGGTCACGACAAGGGCTCTTGCTACGCAGACGACTAGCGGGCCTGGCGACAGAAAGCCCCTTTATGATGCTCTTCCTGCTGGAGCACCAGACGGCCTACACATGGGGAGCTTGAACCCAGATGGCACAACCCACTGGGAGTACATTGGAGAAGCGGAATACCTGCCTTTCAACAGTAGCGAACTTCCAAGCGGTGTGCCAACCATCCTTACCAAGCGATCGGACTATGGCACTCACTGCGACGGCGGATATCTTCCTGATTCCGAATGGACACGTGCCGCGAGCGGTCTCCAACAAATCTGTGGCGATGGCCGTGATTACACCGGTGTCCTTACTTATCAGTACGGCTCCACGATTGCCTATGCCTGTAACTACGGAAATGGTCAGAGGTGCGTCTCGCATGATGTTTGGAATTACCAGACCCAGCTTCGGAACGCCTGTTATGAACAGCGAGGGTGGTTCTCTATTCCAAGTGCAAAATTGTCCTATGGTATGACGCTTGTCCACAACGGGTTTTGCTAGAGCGGAAGACTCCAGGTTTAGTTGACTCTCCAAAGATGATACAAAGGTTCTGGTGATAAAACCGTCATTTCCTCTTTTCGACTTGCCGGTAGATGGATTGCAAGAAGTAGAACGTTAGTGGAGATGTGGATGTATTAAGCGCAATCAATAAAATTGTCGTTTATCAGGTTGTGACATGATATTATGGTTCATTGCGTGAACCTGTTATACTAGTCTTTGAACCTGTCAAAGTAGTGGGAAGTGCAATTATTTTGCCATGTTCGGATTTAGAGCAGTTATTTAGCCTGCGCAAGCAACTGGTCCCTAAGCGATTATGATTAGTCTATTCCAAGGCCTGCTAACACTCCGTTTGAGTCTGCTACACTTAGTGTGGGAGGTAGGAAAGAGCAGAAATGAAGGAAGCAGAAGTTTGATGTATCGAGAGAGCTACCCAGAGCGATTATGTACACAGACAGGTGAGTAGGGGTAACGTGAGACGCAATTCAATGTGTACTGTGTGAACTGCGGTGCGGGCTGACACAATGTATAGTTGATCATGTGTAGAGACGGCATGACTTTGATTTGCACTTTCGACTGAGAGAAATTGCCCTTGAGACTTGTTTACGGTAACTGGAAAAGAAAGACGGAGAGGAAACCAAACACAGGTGAGAAAACGGTCAACTCACCGTTCGTGGAAAAGAGATTCATGCATAGGATCAAGCGCAATTGACTTTCAGACTCTCCTGACAGGATGCGAGCCTCAACAATACAAGGACTTATACGTGAGTTTGCCAAGCGGGTCCTGTTATACAGCCCTTGTTTTGGATGAAGATTCCGCAACAATGTAACTCGAGCACTACCGTGAGAAGAACTCCGAAGGAGGCAGAGACAGTGGCTTGAACGAAAGCAAAACTTCTGCAGGTGGCACCTCCTGCACTGTAAATTTCTCGATCCCCGTTGATTAAATCACAAACTGTGAGACTGAAGAGATAGCAGTCCATGGTTTTCAGGATGAAGGGAAAACAGTGATGTGTTCAGAGAGCTACTCAGAGCGGTTATATACACCAGAGCGATGAGTGGACAAGTACTACGTTTTGTGAGGATGCAACTCACAGTGTAATCGGTGAATTGAGGTGTCAGGCTGACACGAACAGCTCTGTTGGGTCACTAGGCAGAGTGTTAAGCATTGTGCGGCTAATACTGGCGACGTTGTTATTACGTAGGGCAAGTATAGCCCCATCAAAAAATACTTGATAGTGTTGAAACAAGGTCCCTCTAGTAGTATGACTACCATGGATAACCAGGTAGGACGAGAGACAAAGCGGGGTGGCTACAACGTATTGTATTGACTATCGTGATAGAGGTAAGTGCACTTGCCCACCAGGTAGTGCCTACAATAGTAGGATATGATGCGACTCCAGACATGTGGTTGCACCTTCCACCGACCTGGACTAAACCTACATGTTCTCAACAGATAGTCTGTAACGGCATTTGTGATCACCGGAGAGGTGAAGAGATGACCGAAAAACTTACCCTCTTCATAGAGGAAGGTATCGGGACAGGTCCATATATTTGCGGAGTAGCTAGAGCGCGTGTCCACTCTAGGTGTTGTTAGCTCCTAAGAGGACTCTCATATTCTACCGGAAATGGGGTCGCCAGTAACGCCGACTCCTGTGGGGTTGGCGCTGGCGGGCTCAACGCAGAATTTTCCATTCCAACTCTTGAAACAACGCGAATTTTTGCGACACCACCATGCCATCAAAATTGGACTTATATTCTGACGTAGAGCAACGTGTTAAGTGACAATTTATGAGGAATAGGGATCACGTGTGTGATGTGATGGTGGACTGGTGCTCTTTCCTTATCTTAGCAAGCACCTTCTACAACACCTGTATCATAGATACGTCATGTAGGCAGGCTCTGGTCCTGTTTCTTTCCGACATGAACGAAACAAGAACAACACAATACATCACAGGATATAAGTTACTCAGACTTACTGCCTTGTGCGGTTACACCTTTTGTAACCATAGACCTTGAGTCACATGTTATTTATGTTCCTGGTACCTTGAGAGCAGCTACTATGTAACCAAGAGACCCTGTACAGTACCAAGTGCACACGCGCACACTCATAAAAGCCGCAATACCTATAGATAAAACACACTTATCAACGACGGCCTCTAATATTCACGTTACACACACAATGAGGCTTCTTTGGATCCTGAAATAGAAAACCTAAGCTTAGAGGCTTTAGCGCGCCATTTTTGCGCATTGTACGACCGGTTGAAGGCACGCCACCATAGCCGACAGTCAAAGCAACGTGCATAGTACCACAAACCTCAATATCGGCAAGGCAGCGTACTTTTGGAGGAATTTCAAGCTGTATGGGACGGCCTAGCGGTTGTCATGGCGTACAATTTGGTCATGACATCTTACTTCAAGCGTCTGACTATTTTCACAGCACCGATATACCGTGTAATCGTCTTCGGGAACGATTGTAGCAGGACACCGCTGCTTAGGGAAATTCGTTGAACTTCTGAAAGGGGTCTTGCACAGCTAGTTCACTATACAGGTCGCGGTCTTTCTGTGATCGAGCTTATCCGCACCTTATTGACACCTACTTCACGTTGAATGTATGTAGTCTCCAAAATCTAATGTATATCATGGTATCCGAGCTTTTGATCGTGCGGGGATGTCTAATGCGATCACATATCGTTTGGTACAGTACGGCGGAACCAAGATCACAAACCGTCCAATGTCTAGCATGTTTCATTAACTGCTACCTGAACATACAGAGCTGGGAGAGTATTTATGTATGTGGGTGAGTTAAATTTGACTCAAACGGGCTAAAAGTCTAGCCATGTTGAACGAGCTTCAATATTAGCGATTTGGAGCGAGAAGTAGGTCACTTGTTGTGCCTCTACAGTACTAAAGTCCCCTGTCAAAAGTTTCCGAAGCGAATTCTTACCAAAATAGCTAGTTTTTACACTTGATTTCCTCAACAACCACATGTCCAAATAGCTTTAAATTAATTATATAAGAAATTCTATATGTAATCTTTAAACTATTGAACCCTAAATAGATCAAGAATTAATTCGTGAAGTGGAGGTGCTGTAAAGTGAACAAAGTTTGATTTTCCTCTAATTTGTATGGGAAATCAGCCAAATCAAGGGTTAAAACGACGATTTTGAGTTCGCACCTCCGCCATTGAATGTGGGAGTTTTAGTTCAAGGGTATGATAATTCTCTATAGTAACTTAGGTAGTGTCCTATCTTGCTTTTGAATCTGGGATTAACTGAATATGTGGAAAAAGAGTTAGTATTATCTCAAACTTTGGACTATTTTAGTGAGGCTTGGTGGGGAAAATCTAGGGCGGCAGAAACTTTTGAACTAGTACCGCGCGCCGTCGGCCAACGCGCGGAATCGGCCCTAACCATCACCAGCAGACTTGAGGCTGTAGAGCCACACACAATAGCTATTATCGCTAGATTTTCTGGTGGAGTGATCTATAGACCTATGCGACAGAATTTGCTACCAATACTTACGTGGCTGAAGTATTCTACGGCCGCGGCTGTTCACTGTAGGTGCAGGTGCTGAGGGCGGCTCATAAGCAACACTACCACTTTGCACAGCTGCAGAACCACGTTTCTGCCTCTTTTTAACTCCTTGTTGCTGTGAGGCCTTACGCTTACGTTTTTGTGCCGTCTGAGATCTGTTTTGAGAGTCGCGCTGCTGTTTCTTGCGTGCTCTCTCAGCTTTGCGCGCATCAATAGCTTGGCGCTCTTCTGCACGCTTCCTCTCTCGCTCTTCCTTCTCCCTCGCTGCCTTCTGGCGCTTCTCTTCTGCAATTTGCTTTCTGTAAGCTGTAGCAGCAGCCTTTGACTTTCTTGCCTCTTCTTTTTGGAACTCCTCCTCCTCTGCCTCACGCTTTGCTATCCTCATCCGTGTGCGCGCTTCTCGGAAGGAGCGAGGAGTCCACATCATGTACGGTCCCCAGTACTCATAGTGTTGTAGCAAAGCCAGGGGCTTGCCTTGCTTCTCTCGCTTCCTCTTAGTAGTAAGAGCGTCCATTAGACCTTCATTTTCACTCCTTAGAAGGGTGTTTTGGATAGCCATGTGGTGGAGCGATTGCCGAATGATTGATGACTCTTTCTCTGTTGCACCCCTCAATGCACGCCTTGCTACTCGGTCCAGGAACCTCCACTGTTCTCCTTCATAGATAGTAGCGTCAGAGTCGCTATCTTCTGCAGTCTCAGAGTCGCTATCCACGAACTTATCGAGTATAACGTTGGGGTTGAATGGGCTCACACCCACTGCCTTAAAGGAGCTGAGTATATTCGATTCGGTGAAGCTAGCCACCCAGGCATCCCAGAATAGCGAGAAGAAGTCAGGCTTCTTCACTGGTACCAGGCCTTTGTGATTGAAGAGGCGCTCTCCTAGCTTCTTTGAGTATGCTGTACTGAGAGGCTTGAACATCACCACGTCAAGCGGCTGAAGCGTGTGGGTGCTGTGAGGTGGATAGATACCCACAAGGATCTTGTGTCTGTGGCAATACTCCAAAAACTCTTCTGTTAGGTGACTCCCATGGCCATCCAATAGCAGTAGGCGGTACTTTCTTCGAGCTTTGGATGCAGTGAAGCGCTGGAACACCTGTTGCAGCCAGGCAAGGCCTAGGCCGTCGTTGCTCCAGCCACTAGGCGATACTCCAAAGAAGGCCATATGTTCTCCCACCTTCACATCCTCCACCCAGGTGCTCTGAATGTTCTGAGATTCAGCCGGATATATGAGGCCTGGAGGAAGAGCAGATCCATCCGCACACACACATGCTATAAGGCTCACCCACTCACGGTTGCCATCCTGGAGCATCTGCTTAAACGCCTTCTTCTTGTATTGACGCTTGCTGAAGATTCTCTTCTGTCTGCCAATAGCTCCAACCATAAAGCCTTTCTCGTCCATATTGTATGTGTGCGCAGGCTCTATCTTGTAGAACTCAATTTTGTCGCGCAGCGCGTCATAGTACAGCTTGTACTTATCACCAGAGTCAGCGATGTGACGTTGCCGGTCCATAGATGTGGTGAATTGAGACGTAAGCTCATCGTTGTGACGGTCTAGGAAGCGCGATACCCAGCTCTCGGAGACCTGATGCCCAGCGATATTTGAGGCGAAATCTTGAACCATCTCTCTTGTAGGTAGAAGGTGTTCTTTTGTGAGCTTATCTATGTACTTTACAAGCTCTGCCTCCTCCTGTGGGCTAAGATTCTGACGTGTTACCGCATTCTCTTGGTGGGAGCGCGCACCAAGCTCTACTTTGCGCATCAAAGTTGAGCGAACAACACCATGCTTTCGAGCTATTTTTGTCCATGAAATTTTCTCTCCTAGAGGTGTACGTTTTGCTTCTGCAACTGCTTCTTCAATACCTGTCATCGTTGTTGTGCTGTGTTGGGATGAAAAAGTGTCATGTGGATGGTGTTCCGCGCGTTGGCCGACGGCGCGCGTTGGGTGCACGAGCACGGTACCGTGTCCGTGCACACAATGCACGCCGTCAGTCAATGCACGCGATCGCGATTTCATCCCAACTTTACACCCCCCACAACTCAACGCTACGATGACTATGGAAGAAGCTCTTGCAGAGCTAGATGCTCTTGATTCTAACGAAGATATTTGTTACGCAGAAATAGCTAAAAGGCATGGTGTTGCTCGCTCAACGTTGTCGCGCAAGCACCGAGGTATTAGTGGGTCGCGTGCGGAGGCAGGTTTAGCACGTCGCAACCTTCAACCAGAACAGGAGGCAGAGCTTGTGAAGTATATAGAGAGCTTAACAGAGCGAAAGCTTCCTCCTACAAGAGAGATGGTACAGATTTACGCGTCAGACATCGCTGGACACCCTGTCTCCGAAAGCTGGGTTACCCGCTTCCTCCACCGACACCAAGATGAGCTTACATCCTAGTGGAGCACTTCTATGGACCGTAAACGCCACGCTGCTGATTCGGGTGATAAGTACAAAGTGTACTTTGAACACCTGGGCGGCAAGATCGACTTCTACGAAGTGGAGCCAGAGCACACATACAATATGGATGAGAAAGGCTTCCTGATTGGAGCCGTTGGTAGACAGAAGAGGATTTTTAGCAAGAGGCTGTTCAAGAAGAAGCAGTTTAAGCAGATGCTACAGGATGGCAATCGCGAGTGGATAAGCTTGTTAGCGTGTGTTTGCGCCGATGGTACAGCGTTGCCGCCGGCTCTTATCTATGCGGCTGACTCCAACAACATACAATCAACCTGGGTGGAGGACGTGAAGGTAGGAGAACATATGGCCTTCTTCGGAGTATCAGGCAGTGGCTGGTCGAACGATAGTCTTGGTCTTGCCTGGCTTCAGCAGGTGTTTGAGCGCTTCACGGCACCGAAAGCTCGAAGAAAGTACCGCCTGTTGCTTGTGGATGGCCATGGGAGCCACCTAACAGAAGAGTTTCTTGAGTATTGCCACAGGCATAAGATACTGTTAGGTATCTATCCACCTCACAGCACCCACACGCTGCAGCCGCTCGATGTGGTGATGTTTAAGCCTCTCAGCACAGCATACTCAAAGAAGCTCGCAACACGCCTTCACAAGCATCAAGGCTTAGTGCCTGTAACTAAGGCTGACTTCTTTGGCCTGTTCTGGGACGCTTGGGTGAGCAGCTTTACTGCGAAGAACATCTTCAGCTCGTTCAAGGCAACAGGTGTACACCCCTTCAACCCCGACGTTATACTCGATCGCTTCACCAACAACGACTCAGACAACTCTAGCAACGCGTCAGAGGAAGCTCCTACATACGGCGGTGAGGCGTGGCAAAAACTAAATACAGTTATGAAACGTGCGTTGGGTGGTGCCTCAGAGACGGACGCATCTATCGTTCGGCAATCGCTCCACCACATGGCTATACAGAACACCCTTCTGCAGAGCGAAAACGAGGGTTTGCTTGACGCTCTTACTGTTAAGAAAAGGAGAGAGATAAAGGGCAAGTCTCTAGACTTGCTGCAACACTATGAGTACTGGGGATCTTCAATGATGTGGACTCCGCGGTCATTCAGAGAAGCCAAGGTGCGCATGAAGCAGGCACAAGAAGAGAAGGAAGCAGATGAGTTAGACAAGGCTAATATGAGAGAGTTGAAGAAGGCTAGTAAGCTATACAACGACAAGATTGTAGAAGAAAAGAAGGCGCAGCGTGCACGAGACCAAGAGGCACGGAGGAAGGCGAAGGCAGAGGAGCGCAAGGCAATCGATGCGCGCAAAGAGCAACGACGCAAGGACAAGGAGAAGAAAGACTGTGAAAAAGCTCTACAATTGTCCCAGAGAGGCAAGCGTAAGGCTTCACAAAGCACAGCACTAAACAAGAAGCCGAAAGTAGGTGTTGCTGCTGCGCGTAGTCGTGTTGTTGCTGCAGAGCCTCCTCAGCAGCTTCGCACCCACACTACCCGCAGCGGCAGAACAGCAACTCTATACAATTAATGTGTATGAAAGGATATTGTCGCATAGGTCTATAGAGCACTCCATCAAAGATTCTCGTGAAAATAGCTATTGTGTGTAGCTCTACAGCCTCAAGCTTACAGTTGCAGTTTCCGCAGATTCGGCGCATTTGGTGACAGCGCGCATTTGGTGCACGGACACGGTAGTGTGGAACAAACTTTTGACGCGTGACTGTACTTGCTGTACTGACTCTTGACCATCTGCTCGATCCTCCCAACAACGCGAAGCAAGTCACCTGTTGAAGTCATGAGATAGTCCTTTAAGACCCTGTGCCTTCCTTCAACAGGTGAACTTGTGATCGTGTTGTAGTGTCGGTGATGAGAGGTCCATGCAGCTGCCCACTCCGCGCGTGTTAGGTATTGGTTCTCCTGCAGGTACCTGCAAAGCTCCGGCTGGTGACTGTAGTCTTTAAGCAAATCGTTCCATTTAAATTGGAACCCGAGCGGTCTCTTTGCGTAGACAAGCTGCCCTAATTAGCCTAAACTTATTTAATCTGTAAAAGAGCTACTTTAAAGCGCTCTTAGCGTTTAGGGTTAGCGTACCTGAGTCCAACGCTTCATGAATGAAGCCCTTTGCTCAGCGATCCTCTGCTTCTCCTCTTTTATCGTGCCATTAGCGTCTCGCCAGACTTGTTGCGCTTTTGTCTGAACGTTCTTGTTAATGTGCCATACACACAAGAGCTGAGGAACGCCTGGGAGCAGCGAGCGCGCTGACATTTTCAATGCTTCTTCTTGAACACTGATGAACACACGTGGTTGTTGTACGCCTGTCTTGAGAAGGAAGTTTGCGATTGCCCAATAGTAGTCTGCATGCGTCTCGTTGCTGAGAAAGCAGAAGCCCGCAGAGAAGAACGTCTGCAGGTTGGTGCAGCCTAGTATGTGCAGCAGAGGAAGTTTGTACTTGTTGGTTCGATATGTGCAGTCCATCAGCAGGACGTCAGGGTTTGCCAGCAGAAGCTCAACCTACTTGTGATGGGCGAAGAAGAGGTTCTGGATGCGATTGTTATCGTCCTTCTTGACAGCGAAAACCCAGTCTGCCGTGGATAGATCGTCTAGCAGTGCCTTTATCGGACTCCTTCCATCTAAATGTCTCTCTCTGATCGTCTTTCTCTCACCGCGGATGTCGGTGGCAGAGATCAGTGTGTCTTGGTCTTCACTTTGAATTGCAGCGAGAATCTGCATCGGCCGCGCCCCCGCGTGGGTCATCAACTCGATCACTTCCTTCTGTGCCGTGGTGCGCTTGCGGTACACGTCGTGCGCGCTAGGATTGATTGATCGGGAGTGGTTGTGGTGCTTGTCTAGAACCCCCAGCTTCCATTGCTCGCTGTGCTTCACCTTGAAAATGACCAACTTGAAGGGACATCCTGTCGCACGTGTGCTTGTGTTTAGTTTCGTTGCGCTCGATTGATAGGTTCGAAATCGGTCACCATGGTAGTAGTATCGTGTTTTGACATCAGAATTGTGGCTTACTTCGCTTAAGAACGAAGCCATAGCCATAGTGCATGCCGTGCGTCTTGAGAGCATCGTATGCCTCTTCGTAAGAGTTATAGAGAAGGTCTAGAGGGCTGGAATGGCTTCCATGGTCATACACGTAGAACTAAAGACGAGTGACTACAACACAGTGAGAGGAATGAAGAGGTTAACGTGGTGCGGAGACGCGTAGATATCGCGCCATAGTCGCGTTTATTGATTACGCGCTAAACTTGCTTCGGCAGTTGATTTCCGCTAACACTAGCGCGGGGGACAGATCTCAAAGGGGGACAAATCTCAAAAATGGGGAGACAAATCACGCCAGCCATTTGTGACTGGTTCGATGCAGTTCTATGGCCCCTGCGCCAAGCCCCACCACTCATCGATTCATGCTCCCCCCTTGTCCTAGTGACAGTGATCCCTTCCGCTGTAGACAATTGAATACCGCCAATCGTGCGTTGCGCAGAGATTTGTAATCTGCTGAAGAATTTCAAGCTACAGTCAGCATCATCATCGTCATCGTCATCATGTTATCTCATTTACCCTGACTTGTTCCGTAAGATATGCAGGCCGCCACTACTAGGGCTTACCCTTCTGCAGCTATTCTATAGTCTACTGATGCGTACACGATCAAGCTACGGTCTTCTTCTTCTTCTTCTTCTGCTTCTGCTTCTGCTTCTGCTTCTGCTTCTGCTTCTGTCGCACTAGTGTGTGCGGAATGTTCAGAGGTGTAGAACGGTATTGTTGAGCGTTCTGAAAGTGTGTGTGCATCCGCCGACAGAATATTTGCTGACCCCTATCTTCCTGGCGAAGTGTTTCGTCATGCCATTAATTACAATGTAGACTTTAAATGAGGAAACGGGATTTGGCGAAGACGAGCGATAATGGAAACATGTTGCGAAAGGTGGAGAAAGCGCGAGGTGGAATGGGTTGGGGGAATTTAACTTGGGGACGCAATGCTAACCGCATTGGACTTAGACTGCACCCATGTGCCACTGCAAGTGCTGATGCCTCAGAAGCTTACAGAGCACTAGCTATATACCTTTTCCGCAATCACTTCCTGCTATCTTTGGTAAAAGTGCATCTTGGCGGAACGCTACAGCCAAAGTGCTTTGTGAGCTAGTTATCGGACGGTGGAGACCTGCAGGATAATTACCCCACCTTTCGCGAGGCTGCCTGGCAACGGTGAAACATGCCAAATGAGTCTCCAAAGTACATTCAACCTTCGTATAGAGCTAGTAGTTCAAGTATGGAGTGAAACACTAGTCGCATGTATGTGTCTCAATGCTAAACTGACGAAATGACTATACAGAATGAATTTGGAAGTAACGCCGATAATGCATATCAAGCCCCTCAAACCTGGTGGCCACTCGTGCCCGAACCAGAATTTACCAGCAACGTGCGTTGCGAATCACAATCACTCCACTTGGTCTCGATCTTGTGCGATTCCACGTCACCACCATCGTCCACCATCACGGTGACGCCGACCTTCTCCCCATTCACCTTCGCGCTGTGCCACGTGTTGATCACTGCACCCCAATACCGTTACGTGTCTTACCTTGCATGCCCAACGTGCCGGCTCCCTCAAACAAAACCTCCCTAGTCGGAATGCCCATTTTCATGGACTCACACACATGTTCATTCACATCCTGCCAAGCAATGAGCGCATTCTCCTTGGAATACAGATAACACCGCGACGTTGCAAGGTCCCAGTGGATATCGTCAAGTAAGCGTCGTCTCGTCCTCGTAATGACGTTCTTCTCGAAGCCTTTGACACAGCAATATGTCACCCAGATAGCTCCAAGCACTGCACTGCCAAAGACCAAGTCAGTGTGCCGCAGCACCGGAATCTGAGGAATCGACTTGTTCAGTGCGTTGCAGAGATGTAGATAGCGTGGGTGGCCTGGTGTGCTGTCGAGGCATAATGCAGAGACGGGTAAGCGTTCGCCCGTAGTGGTGTAATATGCTTCAGCCAATTCGCAAGCCTTGTTGCTGCCGCCCTCGGAGAAGACGTGCATCAAGATGCCTGCGTCGTTGGCGCTGGTGATGACGTATCCGGGGCTGGATATTCGTTCTACGGCTGGCCGTAAGCGCTCCTGCTTCCCTTTTGAGTGGCGGAGACACAGATCTTTTGCTGTTGTGGTGATGATCATGATGCGTGTGAACGGGAAGAGTTTCTGGTATTCCGCGGTGTACTTCGCAACATGTCTACTGTTTGCGCCAGTCCATGAGCAGAGCAGGATGAGTGATGGCGCATCTGTGTTCTTCTTGGGTGAACAAGAGGGTTCGTAGGCGAAGGACGGTTCGTGCTCGTATATTGATGGTGTGAGAGCAGTAAAGCCAGGAATCGTGTTGCTTAGAGTCTTGACCTTGCCCATGGTGGAATATGCTGTAGTAATCGTCAAGGACTCTGGTGATACTCGAGGCTGAAGTGATGCGATGTGCTGTTCGTCTCTTGATGCGCCAGGTAGTTGCTTATGTATCACACATTCCAAGCTCATTGATATTCGACTACACGCCACCTCGACCCAGCGCCGTGCGCCAATTTGCAGCTGAGTCTCCAGATGTTGGCTGGAATGCGGTCTTACCAACAGCCTTTTCAACGCCACAGATTTCCCTTCTCGTTCACAATCTGATCACTTGGCGGTACCAGAGCGCCTCATTGCATAACAAAGCATCGTTTCTTCAGACCGAGCGAAACTCTTAGCACACCACGTCCTCGATCCTGTATTGGTGTAATTTCCGATCCAGCGGCAAACAAAATGTCGTCTCCTGCACCCAGTGCGGCAGTGCCTGTCAAACATCCCTGTAGCGCGCAGTACGAACCACATCAAGCATGGTCCGAAGCCAATTTCAATCCTCCGATGGCATTCGGTGGAGTACCGATGAACAAAGGCCAATCGACTGTGCCGGTAGACTAGACGTACACCGTAAGTTTCATGAGAGGCTTGCGCAGCGGCCCGAGCTGAAGCCGCTACCGCATTGCACGGGTGTGGTGACAGTTAGGCGTCGCGTGTGGGCCTAGTACATCTATGGTGTAGACTAACAACCAAGCCTTTCCCAGATTGGCAACTCTCGGCATCCACCCATTTGTCAGATTGAGCGTAAGGCCGATAGTGTGGAGCTGAGCCTCCTGAGGCGAGAAAACCGTTTTAGCAACATGTCGCGATCTACATGCAGACGTTCAGCCTCGATAGGATGATAAGTGTGCAGTATTCCGGAATACTCACACGCTTGCAGTGGCGATCTGGTCGAGCTAAGTGCCCTTTTACCAAGTTCGGTTCATTCCCGCATTACTGGTAAAGGTTTACCCCGACATGTTGATCGTCATGACGCTTAGTCACTGTGGGGTGTGGCATACTGTACTGACATTAAATTGCAGGAAATTGCGCGCAAGCTCGAAGGCACAGCCGCAGTGTGTCCAACAAGCAAGTAAAGTAAGAATCTACCCCTCTACTTTACTTGCTTGATGAAAACATTTACTTTACTTGCTTGCTTGACGAGAATCCTTTACTTTACTTGCTTGCTTGACATTGCTTGGTCATGTTTCCTGATTTTGAATCTATAATAGACCTATAAAAGCATACCGGTTCGAAGAAGGTGCCTTTGGCATTCGATCGCTACCACAGTGTCTGAATTGAGGCGATTTCGTTCATCTGTGATGACCTTCTTCGTTTGTGAGAATACGCGCTCACACTCAGAGCTCATTGCCGGACAACTGAAGAAATCAAACGCCATCTTAGCGAGCACAGGGTAATCAGATGCATAGTGAACCCACCACTCCAGAGGATCCTCGACATCTTGATCGGCCTTATTAGCCCTAGCCATAAACTCATCAAGCTCAGAGGTGAGTTTTGTACGCTTCCTTCCTCGCGTAACAGACGCTGAAGTAGCGGCGAGCCGCTGACGACGCTTACGAGCTTGCTGGAAAAGATCAAGCGCAGTATCGCTATCAGTAGTAACCTCATTATCCTCTTCTTGTGTTGCTTCAGCTATGTCTACTTCCACAGCTGCTTCCTCGTAGCGTGCGTACACATCCTGCACTACCCGCTTTGCCTCAGCGATCCATTTCTTCTCATGACTCCATTCGAGCTCGAAATAGGTAAATTTGTTCGCAGGATGCAGGGCAACGGCGCATCGGTACGCTGGCGTAGCATCCGTAAGGGTGTAGTATTCTTCAAGCTTGGTGCGGGCAGTATCAATGGCGCATGAATAGTATTCAGAAACTTCTTCGGGGTGATCGTCTGCAAACTTTCCAGCCTCCCGGAGTTTCTTAAAGAGGATATCAAGAGACTCCAGTGTCTCGTAGAGTGAGCCATGTGCTCCTTCAAGGCCAGCCCTATTAGCCCGGCCTTCCATGCGTTTGGTCAGGTCTTTAAATGGTTTCAAGATATTGAAGAACTGCTCCAAATTGACCCAATCATGCGGAGTAATTATATCCTGTGAGATATCGTATCCCTCACCACTATGACTATAGTGGAGAAAGAATAGATCAATTGCGTTACGGAGCTTGAGAGCTCTCTCAATCATGGCATACACAGAGTTCCAGCGGACGCCGCCGTCGACCAATAACCTAGTGTAGAGTTGTTCGGTGCTGCCTTGATTGTACGCCTGCAGGATATACCGTTTCAGAAGCTCCCGCCGCTGGTCACTCCGGTTAATCCACACGCAGAAGTTGTGGAGCTTACCGATAAAGCTCTGCTTCCTCCATATCTCAAATCGCTCATCGTCGGATGCGCCACAGAGCTCTTTCTCCAGCTTGCTGACACCCTGCCCAAAGAGGAGAGCTTTGACAATGAGATTCAGGATATGGCCGACGCATCGAAGGCGGCTCTGCTGCGTGACTGTGGGATACTGCTTTGCTAGCTCTTCAATACATGTGTCATTATTGCTAGCGTTGTCCATCATGAAGAATCCACCGGTAGCAGGTATATCGTTCGACTCGATAACCGTCGACAGCACCTTTGCAATGTTCTCGCCAGTGTGAGGGCCCTTTAGAGGCCGGAAGTCGAGAAGAGCTGTTTGCAGCTTATGCTTCTCGTCCAGGAAGTGAGCAACAACTGCCACATAGTTCGTTCCTTCTTCAGACGTCTAGGTATCAGTTGAGATATGGATCTTGCTTTTGGTAAGATGGAGCTTTTCTTTCAGCCAAGTACGCCTCCCACCATCACCGTCCCACATCTCTTCAATCCAGGTGCTAAGAGTTGACGGGCTTTTTGGCAGAACCTTATCTATATCCTCTAGGCAGCTGGCAAAGATGTTACGGGTGCGTTGATGCGTCGCTTGTCGAAAGGTAAGGTCAAGATCAATAGCCCAGTCAATAAACTCTTTCTTGAACTGAGAGTCGTTAAACATCAAGCGCCGGCCTCCAAGGCATGGTATGGAGCTCGTTGTTCCCTTGGCCATATCGAACGGATTTGACGCCACTCGTTTGTAGCCGAATTCTTCGAGTTTGTGCAGATGCTTTAGGTGATAAATGATACTAGTAGTAGCCCCACTGTTGAATAGCGCGGAATCATGCTGGCCACCAATATGGCAGTACTTGCAGAGCCAGAACTTGTTATCTCCATCGGTTGTAAGCTGCGCGCCATGTTTGTAGATTGCCGAGGATTGGGCTTTAGAGTTGAGGGTACGCTTGTGAGGCTGACGATATCGAATTAATGGCAGTGGCTTTCTTTCATAGCGAATTTTGTCCCATTCAATATGGAAAGTGCATTGAGTAGATGTCTGCAGCTCTTTCACGGGTGGTTGGTGTAGAGGCCTCATGAGTTGGAGTTGAAACCGAACTTGGGGTTCCTAAGCGGCTCTCTGAGGTAGAGCTAGGAGGCTCGGAGGGGCTTTTAGGCAGAGAAGAACGTGTAGACCTTCCACGAGGCTGAAAGAACAGGTGAGAAGACATATAAGCTTAGAATTTGGTAGCCTTGTAAATAAAGACTGGAGGTGGCAGATTTTTCCCGGCACATCTGACTCCCTGTGCGACTCCAGCCAATCACGATTTTGCCGGGTGCCACCCGGTGAAATCATAATTGGTTCGCTTAGCTAGCGTCACCTAACTCATCTTCGACTTGCCTAGTACAGCAATTCTGTCAAGCAACTTGAAGTTACTTCAAGTAATGTGAAAATCCTTACTTGTGCTTGCTTGAATGAGCCTTTACTTTACTTGCTTGTTACGTAATCAAGTAATGTCAAGCAAGCAAGTCAAGTAACTTGGTTGTTGGACACACTGCTGGCCGGTCGACGTGGGAGACTGACGGTGCTGATCACTTTGATGGGATTGACTGGGAGCGGCTGAAGCAATACATGAAGCCAGTTAAGGCGCCCACAGGCAAGAAGAGTTGGATATATCAGCATGGCTATCGCATTGTCAAGCGGAGCAACTTAAAAAGCGTGTGGTTTGTATGCAGATACTGCTATTCTCATAAGGTCTTCGGTGGTGGCCTATACGATATAACAAGAGCAACGTCTGCAGCAGCAACTCACCTCCGGAAGGCTGCACGAGGCCATGGCCTGTCTAACGATTTCAACGTAAGAAACAGCATCGCGTACGGACCAGGTCAGCTATCGCTGCAGCAGGCGATCGATGGCGGTGTTGAACTATCCCAAGAAGCAGTCAACGTGTTTGGCTACTTTAACGTACAAAAGTTTCGACTCGCCTTTGTCCTCTGGCTCGTTGACAACAATATGCCAATGGAAATAATCGCGCGGCAATCAACGTGCGATATGATTAAGTTCGCCAACCCAGAGGCAGAAAGCGCGTTGTGGCGAAGCCCTCGCAGCGTCGCAACGTACGCAATGAGGCTGTTTAAGTTGCTAAAGCCGCAGATAGTCCTAGCCCTGTCTACAGCTGTAAGCAAAATACACATAAGCTTTGACGGCTGGACGACAAAAGGCGGCAAGCGTGGCTTCTTTGGTATTGTTGCTCACTTTGCTACCACTGCTGGCGTCGTACACGACCTACCTATCAGCCTCCCACAACTCGCCGGCGCGCACACAGGTGAGGCTATTGCTGCTGTTGTCATCAAAACGCTGAAACAGTTTGGGATTACACCTAATCAATTAGGCTACTTTGTTCTTGACAACGCGTCAAATAACGACACTGCAGTTGCTGCAATCGCACGCGACTACGGCGGCTTTGATCCTGCGCACCGGCGCCTCCGCTGCGGTCCTCATACGATCAATCTAATCGGCCAAGCGCTCCTCTTTGGCGACGACAAGGACTCGTACGACAATGTTGCAGCTGAACTAGAAACAGAAGAGTTATACATGAGAGAATGGCGGCAGCATGGGCAACTAGGCACTCTTATCGCTGTAATTAATTACATTAAAACACCGCAGCAACATAAGCTTTTTCAGGACTGCCAGCGAGAGGCTAATAAAG